TACACAAGCTCCAAATAAGCTGCTCATTCTTTAAAACCACAAAAAACAGCCCTTTTCAGGGCTACCAAATAAATAACTTATAAAGAGTTGAAAAAAATCGTGTGAAAATAATAATTCTTCATAATAAATAAATACAAATAAAAACATTCAATAAATAAATTCTTCACCAGCTGAACAGCTGAGCTCTGTGGATCAACAGTTGATTTGTGATAACGACGAATTTCACGGAGAGCGACTATTCTTAGACGATAATGCTGTGGCTGTCGATGCCTGATGCTAACATACATTCGGTTTTGATGGCCATTCATGGTGCCTTTTCACCAGTCGATGTACGTGCGGTTTGCTTTGTACGTCATTTCATTTTATGATTATGACCTTTCGTCTTTTCTCAACGAGAGTTAAACACAACATTCATTTGTGTGAGTGCACACTATTTATACCGATTGGAGGCGAACATTTTGGCGCGCATTTTGTGTCGTATGCTGTGATAGACAAAACAAATACACAAGTGTGCGCGCTTCTGTTATGAATACTTACCATGTTAAGCGTATATACATGTGATGCTTGTGTTTGTATTTTTTCTCTCACTCAACAAGCACAGTTTTGCACTGTATATTTTGCATCACGAAATCGATGACAAGTTGTCATTGACAACTAATGTATTCATACAAATTATTTGTTCTGATATAAGGACTTTTTCCTAATATTTGAAATTAGAATTTAATCTTTTTCATAATTCGAGTCGATTATTTTTTTAATCGCAACTATGTACCCGTAAGAGTTAAGCGCTACAGTATTTTTATTAAAACAATGCTTGAAATCTATGTTCATTTGAAATTTTCTTTCAATATTTCTCACATCATAGATTGATTCTTTGCGACATAACCAAAAAAGTGATAATGATAAAGCGATTATATAAAAGGCATACATCCGACACCACTAATTCATCATTTAGATTTCTCTGGCAACACAAAAGAAGTTAGCTCAACATTAGGCAGTGAAAAATTTGCAAAAGGAGTCTACATAAAAATCGCATTTTTGTTAGTATTGTTAAGTTTATTTTGCAGTTTTGTGGAAAAAAGAAAATAATTTATTAAAATGGATTTAGAATACGTGCACAAAATTAAAAAGGTGAAACTGGAGCTTGAAGAACAAGAAAACCCAAATCCAGTTTATCCACAACAGTCGCCGGTAATTTTAGCAGGAGATTCAGTAATAATGGACAGCCAAATGATTAAAACCCAAAATCAACTAAATGCTGGTGCTTGCCAAATGGCCAGAACAGTTTTAAATCCAAATAGTCAAGGAAGTCTGAGAAGTACATCAAGTCAAAGAAATGAAGGAACTATGAATTCTACATTAACGTCAAACAGCATGAAATTTACATCAGTGCAAGGAACTTTGGCCACATCGTCATTAACAAATGTCGCAAGTACATCAACTCAAAAAAATCTGTCGATTAAAACATCACAAGGAACAATAAAAGCTACATCCAGCCCAAAATACATGGCAAGTACCTCATCGCAACAAATTTTCGCCAAACCCGAAAAAAAAAGTGTAGCATGTACATCAAGTCAAAGAGAAGTGCCAAACAAACCATATGAACGAACTATGATCACTACATTCATCCCCAAAAGCTTGGCAAGTACATCATTGCAAGGACCATTGGTCACATCAATATCAACAAGTATGGGAAATAAATCAACTAAAATAATGATGCCATGTTTGGTGCCTATCACATCAAAACCAGCATCAACAAGTGTGGCAAGTACATCAACTCAAAGAAAAGAGCCAAGTAAACCCAATCAAAGAAGGATGCCCGCTACGTCAAGTCCAATGTGCATGGCTGGTACATCAACTCAAGAAAATGTGGCAAATATATCATCGAATAATGTGAGCATGGTAAAAAAAGCAGAACGGGTCCCATTCATTCCATACGATTGTGATGCTCTCAATGAGTGTGTGTCACACTTTCCAAAAGATGAAAATGGTGATACGATGCCATTATTGAATCAGCCAAGGGCTGACATGGATTTCTTTTCAGAAAAGTTCGATGAATTGAAATTAAAAAATAATCAAAAAGTAAGAAAGATTCGAGCTGTTCAAGTTCCTGCAGATTCCTTTATTTCAAATAAACGCAATGAATTGAAAAAAGCAGAACATGCTATGAACAACATTACAACTGTTAGTAATAACGACGAAGATAATGAGTTGATGACTAATGAAAACATCTTGAAGAGTATTTTGGCCCAAGAAGATGAAACTGAAGAAATTCCTCGAGAAGTTCTTGAAAATTGTGAGAAGGCAAAAAGTCTTGACGCCGATTTTCAACTACAATATGTAAAGAAGTTTTTGGCTGGAAACCCAATAGATACCAGCTATCATCCCACCAAAGTACGTGAATACATGGAAACAGGAGAATACATTTCTTCTGAAAGATCCGAGGCGCGCAAGAAAAATATTCAAAAATCAAGGGAATCACACATGAAAGACAAGAAACGCCGTATATTTTATAAAGCCACTGTCGAGTATTTAAGAGAATCCATCTCGAACACAATTGCACAATTTGTCACAATGAAGAAAATGCTTAACGGTGAATATAATGGAAAATTGCTGGAGTTAATTGGCAATTCCAATAATGAAAATGGATACGAACACGACTTTATGGGTAATAATTCCGATGGCACACAATTTAGCAGTTATCAACCGGTAACAAATATGGCTAAAAAACGTAAGATTACAGATAATGGAGGAAAATCATGATCGACCTCTCAAAATTAACAGATATCTTCTATAGATATGGACAGTTTAGATTTAGAATATTACAGAATGTCTTTGCAAGTTGTCATCAAATAAGAATGACCAATGATTTTATCTTTTTTACTCCCAATTACATATTATTTTAAAAAAATCATTTATATTTCAAGCATTTTATAAGCAGTTCTTGCGAGGCATATTTTTAAATACAAGATAAAGTTTTATATGTTAAAAAAATTATAAAAATGTAGAAAAATAAAAAATCAGACAACTGACGTCTGTCGCTGAAATGGAGTGACAGCAATAAAATTGATTATTAAACCAAATCAAATAGTCTTGTTTTATTTGACAGATATAAAAAAGGAATATTCGATTGGAACGACTTTATTAAAAGTTTCGATCGTACGGTGAAAATACTGCAGGATGCAAATTCAATCATCAATATTGCATTAATAAATAGTAGAAACTCTAATTTAAAAATAATAAACAATAATGAGGTTTTTCGATTTTGTTTCGATCTTCATAAAATATATGTTTGGTGGCCCTGAAAAGGGCCGTTTTTTGTCGTTTTAAAGAATGAGCAGCTTATTTGGAGCTTGTGTATTTGGTGACG